GTGGCAGCAGTGGCTCTTCCCTGTCCAGCCCCTTTGCCATTTGGGGCACACGGGTCTCAGTGCCAGCCCTTCCTGCTCTGACCCTCTCAGGAGGAATCTGCTGCTCCCTGAAATGATCAGGGTCTGTCAGAACACCTCTGAAATGATTTTTCTGTGACCTGCATCAGTCAGACATCCTTTGTGTATCCCATGTTTACATTCCACTTGGATCAAACAGAGAGAGGGAGGAAGGGTACCCTGAATGGAGGAACTCTGGAAATGCTTCCAACTTTATTTTGCAGCACAGTATTTAGCACTGCAAATTAAAACCAGTTTCAGGTGTGACAGCCACCAAAGTTTTAATAATTTTTTGTGTCACCTCCATAGGATGTGAATTTTAATGCATATAAATCACTATTTCTAAGGAAAAAGACAAAATTCCTAACAGTTTTTTTTTTTTTAAATACTATAAATTTCCTCTAAGTATATCATACAACTTCACTTAACAAAAAAATAGGCTGATTTCTATTTGTTGTTCATACCTACATTTGGATTTTAAGACACAGACATTTTTTTTTATGCTTCCTCTCTGTTACCAAATAAGTTCTCCTGCTGTCTCTAGCAAGCATTTATCTTTCAAAGGATCTTTCTTCATCCAACTTCCCTAGAATTGCAAAACGGGACCTTCACTGGATTCAATTTTATATTAATGCTCATTGTCAAAAAAAGAAAAAAAAAACAAAACAAAAAAAACAAAACTGCTCTTCATGCATATCTCAAGGATAGCAGAAGGTCATCAGGATTAAGGTGGAAAAAGGATCCAAAAGCATTTCAGAAATGTTGATGGTAAATAGATGAGCATGTTTGTGAGGAGGCATCAGGAAGATGAGCTGGAGGCAGTGCAGGTGGCCAGGCTGGGACACGGTGCCCCAATCCCACGCTGGGAGTCACATTTGYCAGTGCCCTCACCTGCTCTTCACCATTTTAGCAAAGGTAAAAAGCACCGTCAGGGCTGGGTTTAACTGACATATGGTCACAACAGGGAGAATCTGAACATTTGTGCACAAATGGAGTRGCCTGTAACTCCAGACCGACCGTGATATTGCACTCAAAACACACATATTAAAATATTCCTATTGCTGGGGGGTTGTGAGAACAAGAATGGATGGGAAGATATCTTGGTGTATCACAGACCYCTTACCTAATTCATCACTTGTTTTTCATCAGAAAGCATTAACAGCACTCTACAGGGAAAGCGAGGCAGCTTAGTGTGACAAAATGGCTTTAAACCCAGRTCTACTTCGTGTGAGGTGGGTACATTTTGAGGAAAAAACTGACTGTATGCAATTGTGTTTTCACATCAAACCCCAGTCTCATAAAAAACTGTGCACGGACTCCATCTACAGGTCATTACAATCCTGACACACCATCGGGGTTTTAAACTCTGRTCCAACGCGTTTTAATTCTCACATTAAGAATGCCCATGCACCCATTGCAGCGACAACAAATATCTGTGCATATACACGTGCACTTATCTACAGAATAAACACGTTTGCAGAGAATCCTCTGGCTAGATCAGATGGAGCACTTTGTGAATGCTTCAAACCTTGCCTTAGTATTTACAGAAATAAAGAGATTGTTTGCAAAACATTATTCAATACAGCAGCTGTCACATGAATCACACCCTCTTATTATTTATTTTTTTAGCGCAGATGAACCTTTGCCCACTCCACATGAATTTAAAATCTTGAAGGCAGCCCAAAGATAAGTTCCCCTAGAACTGTGAATGCATGAGGAGACACTGGAGATCAAGGCACAAATAGATCTTTCAGGGATCACTACTGACAATACAAATATTCTGCTGCTTTCTGGTCATTAAGTAACATCACTCACAAACACATTAACGTTTTTACAATACAAAATATGTCTAAGAGTTCTTAAACACTTTCACTGTGTTCTTAATTGCAGACAGTACTTCAARCTGCTTTATAGTCTTTAGTTAAGCTACTGGTTGTTTGATGAGATGCTGTATGATTAAAAATTTTTCTTAATACTAATGTTATTCTTAGATTATTATTTCAACAAATATTCTACAAACATTCAGTGCAGAATGGTCTTTCAGTAACAACTGTCATGGTCTTTGAGCTTACAAATTCTTCATGCAAGCAGTTTCCCTTCACCAGGAAGGTCTACTTCAGATTTTCAACACARCCACTAAGTTAGCACACAATTTTAACCAACAAGGAAGTTAAATTTTGCCTCTTCACAATAAGGTTACAAGAAACACTTAAAGAAGATTAAAAAAACCTCTTCATTATGCCTTTTTCCCCTCTAAAGAAACTTGTATTTCTGAGTAGTCATTATATAAGAACAGAAAAACTTGCACAGGTGTTTAARAGGTAGTTAAGTTTCAGTTTGTTTCAGAAAGCTTTTGCTTTATTTTCTTCACCATATTGAACAGAAAAGTTGTCATGCAAACAAAAACTGTAGTTTTCTTTTAAACTTCCCTTAGATTTAGCTGGGATTTGAACAGGGATTAACTTCCCCCAATACACTTAGTGGTAGTGCAGCCCATGCAGTATTTGTCTTATGCTGCTACATTAAATTAAAATATGTTGGTGCATTAAAAAAATATCTCCCCACCTTCTTTCAGTCAGTGCATTCAGGAGGAGGCTCCAGGCCCAGAGGCAGTCACAAAGCACCAGGAATCTCTTCATGGTGGACTCTGAAACTGGAAGGAAAATAACCATTAACACCATCCCCATTGAAACAGGCATTATGGAAAAGAAAAATCTGACACTGGAAACTTCTGCAGAATAATTTGATGTCAGGCAGTGACCTCACAGCAGCAGAGCTGATGCCACTCACAATAAGGGCGCATGGCCTTGGCTCTTCTCCTGGTTACCTTTAACTTTTGGACCCAGAAGCTGAGGATGGGATTTATTTTGTGGTWAGGGTGTATTCTTTTTGCATTATTCTTGAACTTTAACCAAAACAGTTACGAGTTAAAGCTGCTGTCCCCAAACTCAGTGGCAATTCTTACTCAGTTTCCTCCTGTGTTGAAAATGTGTCAAGGCACCTCCACAGCACTTCTAGATAACCAAGTATTATTGTTTTTTGTTTGACTTGACCCAGCCTGAGCCCTTCCAAACCTTRGGAAGGTGTCAGTGTGTGGAAGTGTGACTGAGGAGAGCGGTGCTTTCCTCACAGCCCCTGCTTTGCTTTGATGTCATGGAAGCAACTTTCTTCTACAGATACAACAAGCCTCCTCTTCCCTGAAACAGAGCATCAGAAAAGGACTAAAATGATCAGATTCCAACTCTGTGATCTGCTGCTACATAGGCACACTGGTATTTCTCTTGGGCTGAAGGCCACAGTTTGTAATAAAAACATGTGCTGATAAATTACACACCATCTCCTAAATCTCTACCAGTCTCTGAGTGCTGCTAGGAAAGGTTTTTGCATTAGCAGCCTTCTCCCCCTYTCCAAACGTCCCCTGCACTCTCTCCAGACTTCACTGAGTTACTCTCAGGTTACCTTTGGGTAAAAAGAAACWCAACTCAGAAAGTTTCCTCTGCTTTCTAATAAACCATAAAATAAAAAGTTAGCTGATATTTATGGAACCAGTGTTCCAGATTCAACTAATTGCTCAGGAGATGCTGCAGGTCCCTTTACATATCAATACAATGTGTGCTGGAATACAGTCGATTTTTAGGATTCATTACATTAAATAAGGCTAACAAATACGAAGCCTGCATTTTCTCCCAACAGTGAATTGGAACGTTTTTTACGTGCCTGAGAAAATGAAGCACTGCACATAGAAAYGTTGTTGCAGCTTTAAATAAAGCTCCCCCAATTCACTGCACACTCTCAGGCACAATTTAAATCAATAAAATAGCGTTACAAAGCGGGATGTAAGCAATGAGATATAATTAATGCGTTTATAGGCAAATGATCGGYAGATAAGCACTGAATGGGGCTGAGCTAATCTGACTGGATAGGAAGGAGCAGGATGTGGCAGGAAAGCGTGGAAAAAGATCTTCAGGGACGAGGCTGCATCTGAACTTGCCCTGTAATCAGCCCCCTCACGAAGGGAAACACAACATCTGTGGCTTCAAAAATCTCCTTCTCCCGGTCCTGCCAACTTCTGCCTTTGCAAAAGGCTCCTCGGGATGAAGAACGGAAAGTGAATTATGCTGAACTATCTTGATCTGTTGAGCTCCACGCTCGCCCCCCTCCTCCCAACACCACCCCCCGCTGCAATAAACCCATCCAGGCACTATAAATCCTGAAGAAGAAAAGTTTCTTGCAGCTGGAAAAAGCAAATGTTAACAAAGATTTTGAATGAGCGTTAAAGCCCAGCAGCCCCTGGCCTCCCCCAGCCCGCACCGCCTGAGAAACCAGCGCCGGTTTTCCCATTCAAAATGGGAGCAAGAGCCACGCTTCTGGGAGCGTTTCAGCAGCGCCCACTGGAAGGAGGAAAAAAAAAAAAAAAAAAAAAAAAAAAAAAAAAAAAAAAAAAAAAAAAAAAAAAAGGGGGGGGGAGAAAAAAAAGGGGGAAAAAATCAAAAACAGAAACGGAGGTAAAAAGGGGGCATTTTGATGCATTTTGACTCACGGTGAGAGATTTGCCCCTCTCTGAGGTTCAAATCGAGACTTGTTTTCCTCCCGGCATTTCAACTTTGCATCCCCCTGCCCGGAGAGCAGCCACCCCTCCCACCGCGCCCGCGGGAGGGAAAAACCCAAACCTAAACCCAAACCCCTTCTGCGAGGGACCGGCGGAAATCAGTCCGCGCTAAAAAATAAATATATAAGATAAATGAGAATGCCCATCGATCGCTGCGGATTTTCAAGCTGGAGGGATAGGGGGGAAAAAAAAAATCACCCCGAGCCGGCGGTACCTGCGGAGAGAGGGGAGAGGAGCCGCCCGCGCTCCTGGACGCGGTGCCCGCAGCCGGGAGCGCCCGGAGGGTGCGGAGCGTGTCCGGTGTGTCCGTGTGTGTGTGCCCGCTGTGCCCGCTGTGCCCGCTGTGCCCGTGTGCCCGGTGTCCGAGCCAGCAGCCGCCCTTACCGGAGCCCTCGGGCGCGGGTCCGCGGCGCCGCTGCCCGGCGCTGCCCTGCCGGGTGCCCGCCCGCCGGCGCGGAGGATGCGCGGCTCCGGCTCCGCCGCTCACTCCGCCTCGGCCATCGCCGCCGCTGCTCCGCTCCTCAGGGCTCAGCACCCAAAATTTCTCTTCCCAATATTCCGACCGCCGCTATACAACAAAAGCTTTCTCTTTACCAAGACAGTAGTAATACGTCCCAGGGTAAACCGGATGTGAAATAGGCTGTGACTTCATGCCAGAGAGATTTTATTTTAGAAAGGAAGGTGGTACCAAGCTCTCATCTAGAGACCAATCCGCCCATTTTTTATATGCAGCACAATTTAACTTCCAGTGCTCTCGCCCTAATCCCTTTCTCTCTGGCTGCAGACTCAAATCCTTCTACAATCTGCAGCATTATTATTACTGGGGGGGAGGCTGCGCGGCCGGGGGAGGCTGCGCTGAGCATCTTTAGACACTTGCAGTTTACAAAACAGTCTATTTTAAGGGTCGTGCATTAAAAATATAACCGATCTGCGTTAGCGTTCAACCTTTGATCGAATATTTAGTCGCGGCATAAATATGAATGGAGGCTGGCCAGGGGTGTAGAGGATGCAGCAGTACGCGCGTGTGCCCATAGACCGTGTGTACCTATAGGGACCGGGCGGGAGCCCACGGCCGTACCCCGCCGGGGCCGGGGATGCTGTGCAATGCTAATTAAACGCAGCTAACGCGCATTTTGAGCGAGACCCGTAGGAGATGAGCTCCAGGAGCCGGCGGCTCTCCCCCAGCGCCGCACGCCTTTGCTCGGCAGGTGCCACGTCTGCCCGGCGCGGTCCGGGGCTCGGCGAGGGCTGTGCTCGGGGGCTGCCACCCCCTGCCCCCTGCCCCGCTGGCCCTCGGGGCCCCGCCGGGCACAGGAGCCGGGACGTGYCCGACCCCGGAGAGCCGCGGAGAGCCCGGCTCGGTCCGGCGGGGGGCTCCGGTTCTATCTCTGCCCGGACACGCGGTGTCCCTGCACTGCCCTGCGCTGCCCCACCCGCTCTCCCGAGGGGCACAGTCCTGCCCCACGGTCACGTCACTCCAACCCACATCCAGACCTCCTCCCCTCGGCCGGGGGGAGCTGGGCGAGCCCGGCCGTGCCGGCTCTTGTGCGGAGGAACAAGGAGAAAGTTGGGCGCAGCAGGTCCGGAGCGGTGTCGGGCGCGGGCAGCGCTCACCTGGCCCGGGGTSAGCGCTCCTCTCGCTCCAGGAGCCYTGCACCAGCCCCGAGCCCTCTGCAGAGATGCCAGACACCCTGCCACGGGCACTGCTGGTCAGCCGTCCTTGCTCGGGTTAATGGGAAGATAAAATGAAGTCCTTCGTCAACAGTAGCTCTTCCTTATAAAGCACTGCCAGCGTCTGGGGGGGTGGAAAAAGAATCCTCATATCATATGCACCTACTGGGTTTCAAATACTGTCTACTTTCCCTCTTCTCCTCTCAATGCCATCACTGATTCAATTTCTGTTCCCTCCTATGATGCTGCTCCAAGGGAGATCAAACCCCATCTATCTTGTCAGAGATAACCTGAATTGATATCTTACATTACAGTTAAGCTATCTGTTGCAAGCTTTATCCAGATTTTTAAATCAAACATTGCACATTTCTGTGCATCCTCATGAAATGCATGATCTGTCTGTAACAGCACAAGAAGGTTTTGATTTGACCCAAGAAACCAATGACATTCATAGCTAAGRCTGGCAATAACTTGCAAGGTGGCAGGCATTTTGGAAAAGTGCCTGACACRACAGTCTAAACACTGCAATGATTTCCCTAAGCACAAGGAAAATAGGAATTTTGTTTATCAAAGTCCCCTAGTGCACCAAGTTTACCCAGACATTATGATCAGCACTGAATAGCCACAGGTTATTTTGAAGGCTCGCAATGGACTTTTTGCTTAGTTTCTTGGCATTTCAAGTGTAGCTCATCTCATTTTGATTCAAGGCTGTTAGCAGTGTGCAGAAAAGTAGGGAACAGAAAAACCTACCCACTTCCCAAGGAAATTATTAGCAGCGACTTTTTAAATCACTATTGCATAGACACAGTCTTAGTGGCTAGAAGGATTTTTTTTCAAATATGCAACGTTTTCACCTTCATTTGCTCTTTGCTAACACAAGTTGCTATGTTTTTGTTCTCCCACTGAAGCATGASAGAGTTTTGCTTAAGCAACAAGTAAACTGAGGTCCTCACCTGAGCTTACAAAGACAACACGGATTTTTATTAAAGTACATGGTCATTGTGTGGCTGTAAAACCACTGAGATTCCTTCCCCTGTCAGTAAGGCATTAATTATATTATTACAAGGACATTAAACTATTTATTCTAGGTGAATAATATATGCTTGTGAAAATAAATAAATATTCAACCTTTGATCTTTCATTTTCCCCTTCATTACTCATGAACAAAGAGGTTGTAAGTACATTTGCTGCTTGTGGGTGTCTGTGATAGGTAATTGGACAGAGAGATGGGCTGAAAAGTGGGTGAKTGAATGGCCAGAGGTTCATGCACCTCTGCAGACCAAAATCCAAGCAAGTGGGAAGCTGAACCAGTTTCAGAGCCATTGAGATATAGCCTTGCACCCTGTAGTTCTGACTTCTTTTAATCAATATATAAACAATGGCAACTGCTTTTAGTTYACTAAAGTGTCAAGGGTTGCACGTGATGTTCTTTGCCTCTTTGCCTCCATGGACACAAGTGCTGTGTGCCAAAGGATTAAATGTTTCCMTGAGTTCTCACTGGGTGAAAATATTGACCTAAAATTGGAAGTTGCTCATTCCCTCTCTAATTCTCATCTGCTCAGAAAGTAGGACAAAACTATTTTTCCTCCATGGCTGAGATTCCTGTCCATCAGTGCTCACATGTAACCCAGATTTTCCCTTTTCCTTTCAAAAGCTSTTATTGCAGTTATCATGTCATTCCATAGTAAATGCTAAAAATACTTGGATGTAATCAAACAAATAGGCTGTTTTATGATGGATTGTGTTATCAAAACCACTCTTTAAAAAAATATAATACAAATTGTTTTCACCAGAGCAAAAATGCTCTTTTGAAGAAAAAAGCTAAGTGTCTTGCAATTCTTATTTTTTCCCTTTCCAATCTGAATTCCACTGACCTAATCCAAACACGACTGAGGGTAATGCATTTATCAAATAAGTCCATCTGTGGATTTCAGGCACCTAACTTAAGAGGATATCTTTGAAAATCTCCAGCTATATATAGGAATGTGCATAGTAGCAGTGAGTCTTAGGGTCATATGATTTCATTCTTGAACAAATTGTTCAAATGAGAGAGGAAAGATGCCTTTGAACATACGTCTCCAGGTGACTCAGTATTAAGTGATGTGCATCTCTRCAGTTTTACATTTGGAGAAGGAAGACGTCAGGCAGACATGTTTGGGGGTTTTTACGCCAGTTCTATGACTTCATAAAGTTTTCAAAAAGAGATTATGTCACTCGTGTTACACAGGAATGTAGAACTATAGCCATTAAAAACRATATTATTAAATCTAAACRGTCAGRCACAGCAAGCTTGGCACAGCTCCTRTGTGCAGTGCTTTGAACCATGATGGTAATGCAGGTTATTATAGTAGCAGTGACAATAAACCAATTGAACCCTAATTTGGTAAAATATATTCATTAAATGACAGACTAAAACTGACATAGAGAACGATTTCCAAAGTAGTTAGAACTAGTTTTGCTTTTAAATTTCTAGTAAGCACTTTATGAAGTCTGGCCTATTCCTTTGGTGCCTTCATCCTGTGTATGTGTGTAAGTATATATATACATATATATATACATATATATATATATATATATATATATATATAGTATTTAAATAGGTCACCTAGAAAGAATATATTTTTTTCAGTCTTGTGGTTTTTATCATGTTGTTCTTTGTGTATGCAAAATATCCAAATGTTTTATTTTAGTTTAGGAATATATTAAAGAACTGAAATTCCACAGCAAAATGCTTTGACACAATGTGTCCTGAATAGCCAAGGGATTTGAATAGAGCAAATGAAACTCAGAGATTTACTGGCATACAGCAGATCAGATGAAGAATTAAAACAGAAAGACCATCTGCTCCAAAGCTTTGAACTCTGTTATTTACAAGTCCTGCTCGTGTGATTAAATAGAAATATTTTGTAAAATATATGACTACAATTTGATTTCTGATTTAATGTGGTTCAGTAATACATCAAAGCACAGTTGTTAACTCTTTAGCAGACATAACAAAATTGAATGGCTTAACTTTTTTTCCCCTTTAATTTACAGCCACAGKGAATAAATAGAAACATACACTTGTCAGTTAGTGGTGGGGTTTGGTTTTGTTTTGTAAAAGGCAAGTGATGATGTATAAAATCATGCCTCTTTCATTTTAAAGTAAGGTTTTATTCATCATCTCTTTCTTCTTCAAAAAATTAGTAGAAAGGGAAA